ACTGTTAATAATAATTATTACCTTGAATGTAGATTGGGAAAGATACCTTAGAAGGTGTAACTTCTAGGTGTCTTGTGGTCTTGCATCTTAGTCAGTAATGCTAGAACAGCTTTGAAACCCCCAAGTCAGTGCCCCATGCTGAATTGAGAAATAAGAAAACCATGGTACATTACTATAAAACTGTTGTCCATCATTCAATGATGACTTATCAGTTTCTCTCTGTGTTCTGTGACTGTCCATTGCTGATGCTTGATAAAGGAGATTTGAAGTCTTGGAAAGACTCTTAGCAAAAGGGAGCGGATGAGAAAGCGAAGTAGTAAGCATGTGCAGGAGGAAAAAAGGGGGAGTGATACTAATAGTTTGTTGGGGGTTTTCTTGTTTTTTTTTGTTGTTTTTTTTTTGAGAGAGAGTCATGGAGAAGGTAGCTGTGATGGCAAACAGCATGAAAAATTGGAATACTTCTTCCAGAAGCATAGAACTGAGTATAGCAGGGTTGTTTCAGCATTCCCTGTGGAAGATTGAGATGATTTTATGTCAGCTAGCAGTCCTCTTTGAGGAGGTAAGCTATAATCTATTATCAGTAAAGTTGAACTTGGAATTTCTCAGTCAGTTTTGGAGGGACAGCAAAGCTTAAGTGCATTTGACAAGGACAGAGAAGAGGAGAATGGTGTGAATCCTACTTTGAGGGAAGGAAAGTCCAACCAAGGATTGGGCTGAGTAATGGACTGCTCGCAGTCGATCATAAATGAGATTGTGCTGTTGAGAGTTTTATGACTTAAGCTGCATCCGAAATACTCTACTGATTAATCTTTTTCTGAAATTCTTAGGAAATTTTGAATGTTGGCCTTTTCATTTTAGAATGAATTTCCAGATTAGTAAACAGCGAAGGATTTCCAAGTACTAGTTTATTGTAGGAAGCAATCTTTTCTCTTACAGTTGGTGATATTTTGATGTATTTAAATTGTAGATTTGCTATGTCTATATCAGATGTCACATTTATTTAATTGATAGCTGTTAGTTCACGTATTCTTAGATGCACAGGGGTTATTCTGTAAGTAATGCCTGCTATTTTATTATGTTGGCCCATGATGTCAGAGACAGATGTTGATGGTACGGCAACAGAGGTTGAACCTTCCCTCCGATACTGTTACATTTTATTGCTGTACAACAGATGGCAGAAGAAGGGCAGTGTGACAAAATGGTGTCTGACATGGAATGAGTATGAAGTAAATATTTGTAATTGAATTCTTCTGTGCGGGGGAAAATGGCACCCGCTGACATTAATCAATATTTGCTGAATGTTTACAGAGACATCCACTGTATATGGATGTGAGCTCAGTGAGGCATTTCAACAGTGGCAACAACAGTGTGGAAAACAAGCCACATTCCAGGTGGTCATGCAGATATTTACGAGCTCATTGTGTAGGTGCCTGTTCATCAATGGCAAAAATGCATAGCTAATGGTGGTGACTGTTGAAAATACATAGTTTGTAGCTAAACGGTTCCCCTAATGATCAATGTTATTGTGTTCTTTTGTATCTGTTGTCATTTCCCTGGAGATAAACGGAAGGCATTACTTTTGGAGCAATCTCCATACAAATAATCAATGTTAACAATCTATTTATAACAACAATAGCAACAACAAATATCACAGATACATCCTTTTGTAGTCTCCCTGAGAATATACTCTGCATCCTCCAAATTCTTACTGGTGTTTTCTCATGTATTACTACTTCATTATTATAGTTGTTGGTAGAAACTTCGATTTGGGATGTTCTTTCTTCTCTTCTGCCGTTTAGATTGTTGAGCAACACTTTGTGATTGCTCTTCAACGTTTTTGTTTTTACTGGGAGGATTTTCTATAAACATCTGTTGACTAATGCTTGTTTTTTTAATAAAGTTGTTGGTTTGTAGTTCCTTTCATTTTTGTTTGTGTATCTGAATACATTTTGTTCAAATTTGGTTGTATTTGTATGTATTCATACCCAGTTTCAATATATATAATTATATATTAAGTAATTTTACAGTATTAGTACTTGAAACTGAGGTTGGTTTTATTGACAGCAGTGACCAGAGAGATGCAAGAGAAATAACAAAACTACTAAATCTTAAAGGTAAAAACAAAATGTATGAGTTTTTGACTAAAAGAAAATTGTTACTGCTAGAGTAACAGCCAATTGATATTTTTTACTGCTGAAGAACATAACTGACAAACTGGATGACGTGCTGGCTATTAAAGATAACTTCATTGTAGTCAAGACCAGGGAAACGGCAGTGTCAATTGCAAAACAAACAGAAGTAATGTGGGTGGAAATATCTACTGACTGCAAGATTTATAAACCGTTCTCCAGATGTTTGCATCCATGTGTACTAGAACTATAGCATTATTCAGAAGATTTTGAGGGGAAATTAACATTAATTTATGTTTTTCTGTATTTTTCTACTTTATTTAGTCTCTATGTATGGAATCCTTTTATCATATATTTAAGTCTATAGTAATGCTGATTGTGGAGAGGGGACAAAAGATATGTTTACGTAGTTAATTTGGCTGCATGAGAACATTATTGCTTTTATCAGTTCAGATTGTCCAGATAACATAATTAAATGTGCAACAGCGGTCATTTCTTTGCTAGATATGTTCCATATTACAGTGCTGCAGTATCACCAAGAAACAGAATTTAATCTCCTGATTTCCAAAGGGGGAAAAATATTACAAATCCCATGGTGAATGTTAGCAACTAAAAGTGGGATCTTTGAGTGCTATTTAGAAACATATACAACTTTCTACAGAAACACCTTTGTTGTTTTTTTTTGTTTTGTTTTGAGGGGAAACATATGTGCTGGGATATAATTTCTCCAAATCCTTGTTTTAGACTGATTTGTTTTAAGTGGCTCCCTTAAGTATGTACATTCTTCTGCATACCTGCTTTGTTGAAAGTACACAGACCTGGCACCGCTTTGTTTGCCGGGCGTTCTCTTATCTCATGCAAGCATTCAAACAAAAGTGTTCTATTGCTCCCTGAGTAATCTATGGGTGATCTTAACATTGAACAAAAGTCAGAACAGGGACTTATGTAATATTTCTTAATGCAGGAGTAGACAGTCTCTGGAAAGAAGAATGATGGGGGTGTAGAGCAGGCAGAAGACAGCCAGTAAGTCAGAATAAATAGCTGTTCATATAGGGAAAAAAGTGTTAAGTTTTAAAATGCTGAAATGTAGGGATAATAAAAACTGAGCTTCAAAATATATTCTATTTTTAGTAAAGCTATTTTTATATGTGCTTTCAAATATGTTTTCTTAAAGAGGAGCTCTAAAACTAATCTAGATCCAGTTTTTATTTCATTTCTTCTGTTCTACACGGCAAGTTTGGTTTACTTTAAAGCACACAGATATTTCTGTTGTGTAAAATGGATTATCAAGTACCTTTGAGAGGGCATATTCATTCAGTATTGCCACAATTGTTGTACTTAAAAGGGGGTGGGGTGGAATTAAAATATTCCAAATAATTATTAGATTTTTTGCATGGACCCTCTCCCCCAAAACAAATAAAGCATTGCTCCCTAAATTTTTAACTATGTCACTATTATTTAAAATTTATTTACTTTGTGGTAAGGGAAAAGTGTTTTATTATTATTATTTTTGAAAGTATAATTTTTTCTATTTTCTTTATTTCAGTCTTAAAACTTGCATACATACAGAGTACCCTGTTTAGTACTTAGTTAGAAGATCAACACTTCTTTTTTTATAGTATTCTTTTACTGTAACTAAAACTATGCATCAGGCCTGGAAAGGGGTAATATGATGAGTCCCAGACTCAGAGTGGTACATGTAAAAGCTTTAAAGCAATTGGAACAAATGAACTTGAATTATATTATCGGTAGTCTTTAGGTGTATACGCAGAATTTCTCTATGACACAGACTGAAAGGACAGAAACTGCCCTTGTGCAAGGTTGCTCTCACAGATCAAAGTTACAATATCTAGATTAATGTTATTAATCTAGAAATGTACATATTGTATGAGTGCATAAACACATACATATTTATGTATATGAACACGTTATCGCAAAAAAAGTAAAATTAATGAAGGCCAAAATGAGGGAAGGAATTAGTGTAGTGTGATTAAAGAAAGTATTACCACTTCAACAAAATTGGAATGAAGCTAGATTTGTCTTATAAACAGTCATAAAAATTGTTACATAAAACATATAAGACTAAAACCTTCTAGTTTTAGAACAATTCTTGCTTTGTGTTAGATAAGAATAATTATTCATTTGTTTGCACAAGCATTATGTATGCATCATTAAATGTTCCTGCTAACAGTGGGAAGGCAGAGTTGCGTTCCTAAAAGTGACCCTCAATTTTTTTTTAATTTTGTTGTTGTTGTTGTTCAGGAGTAGTTAGATGGAAATCACTCTCTCTGTATTCACTGAACCAGCTTTTTGACACTGAAAAAACACAATATGTGTGTGGCGCCAGAATTGGTTGGGAACAGGAAAGGCATATTTTGTATCTGTACTAAACCTGTCGACTTAGTGCATAGAAGACTTGACCCTTGTCAGGTGTCTTGAAGTTAACTGGCTGACTTATGGATTAATCAGTTTAGGAGTGAAACCAACCAGTGACAGGAATGAGCTTTGTTGTGTGAGTGTGTGTGTGGCTGTGGTGCAGATTTACAAATTTTTATAATGCTTTCAGTCGGACCGTGAAAGTCTGATGTAAAGCTTATCTCTGATCTCTGGCTATGGCCATACTCGTGGGATCTTGTGTATGTGTTTGGGGGCAGGGAGATGAATTCTTTAACACTTTACACCTGGCTCTACCAGGTTTCTAGCCCATAGTGTTAGGAATGGCACTATTAAAGGCATTAATACAGTTAAAACCGTTAAGCTGTATGGGCAGTAGGTCATAAAAACTATTGCTGGATATTGTGCTTAGGCTTTCTTTCACAGCTGGATTATCATCTTGACAACTAATTCTTTTTTCTTTTGTCTTTTTTATAGCTGTTGTGAACTTAGACAACTCTGTGGTTGACCTAGAGACCCTTCAAGCCCTCTATGAGAACGTGAGTAACCAGAGGAAGTCCATACAATGTAGGAATACATTGGTCCATATGAAAGTATTTGGGATTTGCATCAGTAGTCGTAAGAAAGTGTCCAATTTTGAATTGACTGTTCTTGTCCAAAGCAATTAGAGTAATGATGAGCAGTTCAGCTGCATTGATTGTGCATTTTTTTTACTGAGCATGCATTTTGTTGTAATTCCTATATGTGAAATCAACTGTATTCCTTTTTGTTTGTTTTCGGGTAGGGCAGTCAGTAGGCGTCAGACCTTGCACTTCAGACCTTTGGTTTATCCCGGTAACCTCATTAATATAGCTATGCTGTTCAATAACAAACAATTCTTTTTAATAAAAGCAATCATTTCAATTGTAGAACTGCAGTTTTAATTATTTTGGAGGAAAACCCTAAATAATGAGGATTTCAAATCTTTGAAAGGAGAAGGCTTACTCTAGGTTAATGTAAGAAAAAGTAGTATAAACTGACAGAGGCTTCATGAATGTCTGGTGCTTATTATCACAGTGTGTTTGACTAGTAGGTATGCAAAATCAGGGATTCAGAATGTAGTCAGGCATGATCTAAAACTTTCTAAAGCCAGTCACGTGCAACACTGAAAGAAGTGGATTTTCGAAGTGCATTTCTGCTTTCAGCTGAGGCGAGTGAATATTATTCTCTTCTTGGAGCACACTGCCTAAGTACATAGAGGTCTGGCTAGGAAATTCCAGAAAAAAGAGAAGAGGTTTTCTATTTACTTTCTGAAACGTGATGCTTGAAAGCCAATGCATTTTACTAGACTTTTTATTTCCCTCAAATTATAATTTTAATAATACATTCATTACTTTAGCACCTTTCCCTTTTTTGTATTTTCTGGACTATCTTTATATGACATACCTTGCAATTATTTATTGATTTCTGAAATTTCTCATTTGGGCTGTGAAAAGAGACAGTAAGCTCCAGTCCTCTTTGCAGAGAGGATATTGGATAGCACAGTTTGTGACTATCTAACAAGAACTTGAAAGCACTACTTCTCTCATTTCATCTCTGAAGGATTAACTCCCTTCAACACTGCTCAGGAAGGTAATGACCAAATGGAAATCTATCCTTACCACCCCAAAGTCTTTATATTTTAAACATCTGTCCCCCTCTGCCACAGTCACTTCTGAATGAATGCTGCTCTCATGATCAGTTTATAAAAACTTCACTCTTCTTTGCGTTACACTTCTCTAGTTCAGAAAATTATCCTTTTGCATTGCTGATTATAAATTGTGCTAACAGTATTTTTCAAATGCCTTATCTCATCTGTATTCTGTGTAAGAAATATGTATTTCCTAATTCTAGTATGATAGATCAAGTGCAAATTTGCTGTTTCCTGAAACATCAAATGATGCTATTCTATTTTTTTTTCATTATTACTTTCATTAATTACAGAGAATATCTAGGAATTGTTGTCAAGATTAAGGAAAACATATGTTAATCTGAGGGTAGACTCAAAAAAAATTAAACAGCTATAATGTGTTTTCTAACTTTGGGCATAAGATATCAGTTCAACTGTATCACGAAATTTACTGGACTAAAGAAAGCAGGACAAAAAAAAAATCCAATTATTTTCAAAAATTTTCCTCTGAGCTGAATTTTGTTGCTGGATCCTGTGTTTAGTAGACCTGAGGCTCAAAAGAAGGCTCTTAAGTTTCTTGTTTTGTTGTCATTGTTGCTTATTGTTTTTGTCTTCAGTTTTAGATCATACTTACCAGACTTTACATTTCTTTTCCTTTTTAACTTCCTTAATTATAATAATATTGTTCAATATAACAATGAGCAATGGTTGGTAGGAGAGGGCATGGCACGCTCAGCTGCTCCCTTATTTCTCAGCCTCATTCTTTGTTGTGGGTGGGGATAAATTTGCCTAACTCCATTACACTGTGTTCATTAACTACATTTTTAATTCTTAAGATTTATTTGTTGAGTTGGGATTTCTTGCTGCATATTTAAATATTGCTATACTAGTTCTCAGCCTATATGATCTCTCTGGAACATATGGGAACCCTTGTTTTACAGTCTTCCCTCAGAATGTAGTCGGGTGTTTTTCAGATTGCATATGTCTGGCATGGTGCTTTCCCTTCTTAAATGATTACTTAAATGTGAATGAAGTTTGGGCAGTCTCCAAACCTAAACACACCCTAATTTCAAAAGCTACATTCTCAAGGACTCAATTCCTGTTTACTGAAGAACTGAAGTCGTCTTTAACCACAAAGTTACTGTAAACATATTACTTCTTTTTAATGAAGAAACCCACACCCCACCAGTGACCCAAGATCTGTATTTATTTAATAATATTAACTGGAAGCTAGTGAGAAAGACTTTGGTACTACAGTACTATATGATGCAGTCTCATAGTTGCATATGGCAATGTAGTTTTCTCTACAAACTATGGTTAATACATAGTTGATTGTCAGCATGTGTTTAGACAACTTAAATATAGACAGAACAATATGCAGAACAGTTGCTTTAATATGTTTTTTTTTCCACAGATACTACTACCAGAATACCCCAATGTCCTCATTTTCTCTGCTTTATCACTTAAAAAAAACCCAAACAAACACACTTTAAATTGGGGATTTCTCTGCTTGATGAACACAGAACTGTAGTTTGGAGTAAATTGGTAGTTTCTTTGATGTCTAGTTTTGAATTGTATTTCATTTTGCTGTTTTAGCACTGAAAAAGTATTTGCTTCTATTTAACTTAGAACACTTGGGATATATTTTTCACATTATATTAAAAAATGTTGAGTTTTTTTAATTTGCTATGAGGGAAACAGAAATCGTTAAGTTCCAGAAATTCCTTGAGTTATGCTTTTAGGTGGCACGTTGATTTAGAGAGAAAAAAAGCAGGTAAAACTCTGAAGGGAGCTATCAATTCACTATATATGGTAGACAATATTGATTGTGATGAGAAATACAATCATTTGCAGACAAATGAATGTTCATCTTGAAAGCAGGTGGGCTCTTACCAGCTAAAATACTACATCTTGAAATTGGGTCAGACTAAGGCCTGTTCCTGCTTATATCTTTGGTTTTGAAAAAAGAGTGTATAAAAATGTTTTTAAATTGAATCAAATAACTGTTTCTGCACTTATTCCTTTCAGGTTTCTTCACATCACAAATTCAAATGCATATACTTCCTTATTTTGACTCCTGTTATGTTGTCAGGTCTATCTCTTTAAAGATATTTAGGCCAGTGCTTTCATAAATTTCCAAATGCCGTTTGTAAGAGAAAAAGGTAACCAGAAGTTTGCAGTGCTTGCCTCCACTCTACCACTAAGATTCAAATCTTCTTCCCAGGTAGTCATTGTATAATTTAATTTTTTTTAAGTGACAAACTTCAGCATCCTCAACATTTTTCAGCTAAGACTGTGAATCATGTTTAACTTCTGATACAAAACACAACTTTGATGGGATAGCATAGTAGTTATTAACCAGGATACCTTATTCTATCCTTGTTTCATTAACTTTTATGTTCTTTATGCAAGTCACTGTGATGCTTTTGAAATGTTACATTAACGTCAAAAATGAAGCTCATTAAAAAAATCCCCCTAATAATTAAATTTAATATATATATAAAATAATAATTAAAATCCAGCAGTATTAAACAGCAGTATTAAATACAGCAATATTAAATATTATATTAAAAATAAGAAGTAAAATTCTGTTGCAAGGGGAAAAAAAAAAGAAACAATAAAATAACAGGAAAAAGATTTGTGTTCTGAAATAGAAGAATGGCCCTTATCCTGTATTTGATCCTACCCAGTTCATGGGATATAACACAATAAAAGAGAAGAATTAAGTCTAAAGCAATGTAGTTTTTATAGTATATCTGTGAGATTTAGGCTGTCTGATGTCATACATAGTAAAAACAAAATTCTGATAAATTACACTATAAATTACACTAATTTCTTCCATTTATATCATTATGTAACCACTAAAATTGAAGGGAATAGAAAATGTTAGCATTCAAAAAGGTGCTGAGGAATCAGATTAGCAACTTTTAAGATGTATTAAATGGCTTCTCTTGACAGAAATGGTAGAGAATAATATAAAAGGATTTTTGTTATTTGCTGTAAATTTAAGAACAGATAAACATTAGCTGTACAAAAATAAGTTTACCAGTAGTAATTCTGATAAGTAATCCTAAATAACAATTGTGCAGATCTGTCATACTTTTTTGTAGTAATTTAAAATACACAGAAAATCAGAATTCTGTATGGGAGAGTCTGAATTAAGAATGTGAAACAAGTTTGATTCTGAACTTGCTCCATATAGTTGGATCTCATTGCTTTGATTAAAACTTGAAACCGTACCTTGTGACATTTTTCTCTGGTCTACCCATGAGTGGATGATGCTTAGCTGTGGTATCTTTGTCAGTTTTTCTGTGCTTATACAATCAGAAAACAATAGATTAAAAAAAGAATAGTGAGTCTGCCTAACATTTGCCAGTGGATTTCTTAGAGTAACATTATCAACTTTAATATGCGTGTGTACTTTTAGGTTGCTCCTAAAGTAATGCCTCCTATTTATTTCCATGGAAACTACAACTGAAGAGCACATCAGCACTATTTGATAGAATTAATTCTCAGCTACAGAACAGTGTTTTTCAACATAGTCACCACTGTTAGCCAGTTTGCGTGGACGAGCTGATCAAGATATTCTTCACTTCATGGTGCGTCAGCTGTGCGTGGCTATTGGGAATGTGGCTTCATTTGTGTCATTGCTGCCACTGCAGAGATGCACTATCCACCTCCTCGCTATGCTCACACAGCCTCTTTGATTTGCAGAAATGATCAGCAAGCATTAATGAATGTCAGTAGGAGCAATGTTTTCTGCATGAAGGAATTCAATTACCTTTGCTTCCATGTCAGACACCATTTTGGCAGACTGCTGCTCTGTTGAACAACAACAAGATATAATGAAGTATTGGTAGGAAGATTCAACCTCTACTGTCTGACCACCAA